TCACTCAGTCTTCACTCTCCCTTGTAGAATTTCATTTTAGGATGGCTACTGATGGGCATGTCAATCCAAGGATCTGGGGAAAGCTCAAAGCTACACAACCAGACATTTTCTCCCAGGACTTTGGTTCTTGTGTGAGTGATCCATGGGTGAAAAATAAAACTGTGCTTTATTCATCTTAATCCTGCCTCCCTCTCTGCTGCTCTGGGAAATGCCTGGTTTCTGTCCTATCAGAGGCAGTCCTATATTCTTATCTTTGATTCTGTAAGCTTCCTTTATATTTTTTCAATATGTTGATTTGAGCTTACTAGAGTTGACTTTAGTCATTTGCAAAAATAAATTCTAAATGATAGAAACACCATGTATATACTCTCTGGCACACAGTAGGTGCTTGCAGTGTTTGTGGATTTTTCCCCCACAATTGAAACTCTGCCTGACAACACATCTGCCAGACTTTCTCTGGTCTTATAAGTGAGACCCAAATACTCAGGACCTAATTATCATGATGTGAATGGAAATAATTTAAGAGAGGATTTGAGCTGGGCTTGTAGGTAGTGCTAAGAAAGGAAGGATATTCACACAAGGGGTGGAGAGAGAGTGTGACCAAAGGTAGATAAGACATGTTTGAGGACAGTGAATAGGCTGTTTTGGTTGAAGCAGAAATTAGTTGTAGGATATTAGTAGTGGATAATGCTTAGAAAGATGAACTGAAATTAATTTTAAACATAAAATTCTACAAGTTGCAAGTGTTTCTATAAAAGGCTCTCTTCAATAATTCACCATCTTTGTCCATCAGCAATACAAAATACTTTTTAGAATCTTCTGGATGTAAGTTAGAACTTCGGAACACTAGAGGTGGACTTCAAAGGGGACATTTGGGAAACCATATGTCCTTAAATAAAATGATCACATAATCATGACTTCCAGTCATTCCAAAGAACAGGTGCCGGTAAAATGTTCAGCGAGTACCCCTAAACAGGGAAAGTTCCTAAGGCACTGATTTGCACTAATTACATACAAATAATTCCATGAAGAAAATAAACTTAAGAACACCAATATTTCCCAAGGATTCTCATTATTTACTTTTCAATAAAGACATGTTTTGTTGCCAGGCACGAAATGTTTACAACACAAAAGAAATAATCACAACATTTAAACAGATGCTTATCAACCCTGGGAACTGCCAAAAGGGCTATTCAGCTCTTAGTAAATATGGTGATGGGCTCAACCACCCCATTAAGAAACATCACAATATGGAATGGTTTCACTTATAGGAGGAATATAGGGGAACCAAATAAGAGATCAGGGGGAAAATAACAATTAAAAAAAAAAAAACTAGCAGGCAACCATAAGTAAGAGACATTCTGGAGGGAGAGGAAAGACAAGGGATCAAAATGGGAGGGAAGAGCACACGGGACTATGGTGAAGGTTCACGGGTGAACTGGTGGTGGGAATTTTCTGGGGAATGCACACACACAAATAAAATACTGTTTTGTTGCTGCCGATCAAGGAGGGGCTGGCGGTGGTAGTGGTGGTAGGAACCTATAGTTTGCAGGTCAAAAGAGTGTTTTTACATGAGGAGATGTGCTGATTTAACTGATTAGCTTTAATTTAACTGATTAGCTGGGTTAAATGCTACTTTTCATGATAACCAGGAACTCAGAGGGTATAACATGCAAATGCAGGTTCTGTTGGACCAGTACTGATGGCAATCATGGCAAAGCCTATTGTCCTTACAGGTTAGTCTATAATCAGAGATGGAGCCCTCCTCTTGCTTGATTTCTTTTTCTCTCTGGATCTTGCAGCCATGAAGCAGTCCTCACACTACATCTCCATGCTTTTTCATTCTTATCTCAAATTTCCAAGAGAAGCATGCCATTTGCAAACCAGTCGACGTTTTGTTATCTTAATCTCAATGGTCTCTAGTGACAATTCCTCTGTCTCGGGAGTCCAGGGAGGTCTCTGTGAGGAGGACCCCATGAGTTTTAACATCCAAAAATAGCCTGTGGTTTTCAGATCTGGAAAAAGTGCATTCTAGGTAGAGGTACAGCAAGTTCAAAGTCCTTGAAGTTAAAAATGAACATGGCAAGGGTAGGGTAAATGAAATGGTCAGGCTTTTACGCTGCTGGCCTCTGTGGCTATCACCTGTGGCCTTGAATGCAGAGGCACACATGCCTGATTGTGAACACCTGGAGTGTGATGTGGGCATGCATAAGTGTGCACACCTGAGCCTGGAGGCTGAGGCTATAAGGGCGGCATCACACAGAGAACATGTGTAGTGAAGAAGGCTATGGTGGAATCGCTACAGGAGGATGAGTGACTACAGAGAGGCAGGACCACGAGCAGATGCCAGAGAGAACCCAAACAGGAAAGTGTGCAGACTCCCTAGGGGCTGGGAGCCCTGCCAGCCTCCTGAACACCCCAACCTCCCTGCCTTGCCAGCTGTAAGGGTAAGTGAAAAAGTATCAGGCTTTTCTACCCTCCCGCCATTAGGATTGAGGATGGATCCTTGTGGTCCTGAATGCATGCCTGATGGCGGGCACCTGGAGTAGGGTGTGGGCATGCATAAGCGGGTACACCTGGGCTAAGGCTGTGCTTATAAGGGCAGCATCACGGGGACACCAGGAGAAGCCGAGAAGCAGAACCGAGAGAGGAGCAGAGAACAAGGCCGCCAGAGAGCCCAGAAAGAGTGAAGATTTTCTGGGGGCCGGGAGGCTGGCAGGGAGGCACCCCTGTGTGCCGTGTGCCTGGTAAATCCCAATAAAAGCCTGCAAAAAACACGGAGGGCTCCAGGACTCCTCCTTACGCCGTCTGCGTGGATCATAGAAAACCTGCACTCTGACATTCCTGCCATCACACCAGCCTACAGGCTTGCCCCTGAAAGAGCATTAAAGCCTGAAAAAGCCTCTGACAGCTCCAGGACTCTCCTTTATCTGTCCATCATAATCAACAAAGAACATGCCCTGTGCTTGTTGGTGCAACAACATGTTAAAAAAAAAGACCAGTGGTGTAGTGAATTAGTGCACACTGGGAAGAAATAGGCAGGAGTCAGATCATATCCTAAAACAATTTTAAAAATGGATTTTACTAAGTGAGCTGTGAAATCATTGGAAGAATTTAGCAGGGACAGAGGAAGGCTGACATGATCTAATGTCCATGTTGATGAGATGGGGCTGGAATAGGGTTAAAGGACATGGGGAAATAGGACCCTGGTGGTGGTAGCTGATGTATTGACTTCTGGGCACTTTTGAGACCTTTCTTGGAGCTAGAAGACAGATGTGGACACACGTGTTCTCATTGTGGAAGTGAAGGCAAGAGTGAGTAAAGTTACATATTGTCATTAAAATAATTGTATTTCTAGCCAAAGAATGATAAAGTTTGGAGTAAAATGGAACATAGGAATTCGGGGGAGTTTTTTTTTTTTTTTTTTTTTTGGAGGATGTTTCCTATTTTGGTTACTACTAAAGCAAATAGCACTGAGGAGGGGACACGAGGGCATAAGTGCAGCTCCTCATCCATTCAAGTTTCACATCTCCAGGCTCCACCTCTGATCTTGGTTCTTTTGCTGTTTCCCCCACATCGGCAGTGGCTTTCTCCTCTGAGGTGTTGCACCCCTCAAAGTCATCATATTGTAACCTTATCCCATGAATCCTGCATGTTCTGCATGGCACTTAGATTGGTGAATTTTTTTCTAGGAGGTTTCCATTTAACTTTGTCCAGATCCATTGAAGAAATCACAATCTCTGGCAGCTATAGCCTTAGGAAATATATCTCTTAAATAATAAGACCTGATCTGCGAGTTACAGAGGGATGTTGTCACAGCAGACTTGAAAGCATCGTACATGTTTTTGTACATGTCCATCAGAACTCTCAGGTGACCAGTTGCATTGTCAATGAGCAGCAGTATTTTGAAAGGACCTTTTTTCTGAGTGGTAGTTCTCAACAGTGGGCTTAAAATTTTCAGCAAACCATGTGGTGGACAGAAAAATAAACAAACCCAGGATATTTGCACTCAGTCTCTTTCTTAAGACACTTGATTTGTCAGTACTAGAAATTTGTGTAATAGCTTTAAAAATTATTTTACATAGCACCTATTTAAACAAGTTGCGTTACTTTAAATACAATTTTTATTTTAAAAATGGCTTCTTAGTTCTCTATAAAAAATAATTCTAAATGCTTTCAAATAATCTCTGGGAAATATGTAGTTTTGTTTAAGTTATCTTTACAAAGTAACAATTTCAGAGCTAGAAATAACTTGCACTACTAGCTCAAGTATATTTCATTTTTGACTTGTATTTGCTTAGTTTCAACAATAGCTAAGTTCCTTTTCTGTGAAGATGATGTGTGGGTCATTCATTGTTGGAAATGAAAACTTATGCAGGCATTGAGTTTAACTAAAATTCATTGAGTAAATGTTTTTTTTTGTGTGTGATATCAGTATATGACTTGTTCTTGGAATACACAGTGGTTTATTTAGAAGTTGGTTTTGTTGAGATATAATTTATGTGAATAAGATACAATTTTATGTATATAATTTGAGAATTTTATTTTCTTTCAAAATCAGCTCAATGGATAAAACCTATCAAAATTCACTAATTTTGAGTGGTCACTTTGATGAGTTTTTTAAAGTGACTTTACTGAGGTATAATTTAAATTCCATAAAATTCATGTGTCTTGTGCATATAGCTTGAGTTTCAGTAAACTTTTATCATCGTGTAGACATCATTGAAGTATTTTATTACACTCCCATCACCTGAAAATTCCTCTGTGTCCTCTTGTAGCCAGTATCTGTACCCATCCCTAACTCTAGGAAACCACTATACTGCCTTCTACATCTCTCATTTTGCCTTTTCTAAAAATTTCATATAAACAAAAACATGCAATGTGTACTCTAAAAAGAAAGCACAGTTAACCCTGATTCCCTCTATACTGCCCTACAGAAACATGTGTCACAATGACTTGATGAACGACACCAAGGGTGGGGCTGTTGCTTAGGTGCCAATTTTAGTTACACTTTTCATTTTCTTAGTTAAAGTCAGCTTATGAGAGTGGTGACTCATGGAGATAACAAATGAGAGAGAGAGTAGTTCTGAAAGTTCCGCTGAGAGTCCACCCATTTACCAAGCTCCTTGGAGAAATTCAGAGGTCTTATCTCGTGGCTCGAAGATCACCCCATCTTGGACTACCCAGCCAGTCTTTTGGCACTTTAATAATGGTAATCATGTTCTGGGGCTCTATTACATATGTGAAAATTCATTCCTTCAATATTTGAGTCTAATTGGAAACAGGTGGGGCATGATATCAGGGCCCTCCTCCAAGTAGGGGTGGGAGAAGCACTTTTTTTAAAAAAAATTTATTTATGCATAAACAAGAGCTGGGGTACAGGCCAGAGTTGTGGGAGGTGGGAGGATCCACCAGAGACAGAGTGGGGAACAGAACAGGCAGACTGACTGAAATACACTGCTGAGGGGAGCAGCAGGCGAGACAGGAGAGGTCTGCTGCTCCATGTGGGTAGCTCCCTGGCCAGCCAGGGATCGAATTCATGCTGCAGAGGCTGTGGACAGCTTCACAGGCTGTGTCTTAACCCCTTGCGCCACCAGGGAGGCCCCAGGAGCAGAGCTTTGTTCACCAAGTCATGAGCCTATGGTTCACACCCATCCAGATGAAAGAGCACCTTTTTATTTTTATTTTTTAATTAATTGCACTCAGGTACCCTTGGAGTGGCTGCTTCCTGGGAACAGAGGTGGCAGATTGGAAGTTCATTAAGATTTATTAAATGCCAGTTATAGGTTAGTCATTTGTTATGCTAGATTTATCCCATTAGCTCATAAGTTCTCATGTCAATCCTAAGAGGCAAAAATGTAGATGAACTGGGGTATAGGATGTTTAAATAACTTCCATAAGGTCATGTAGCTGGTAAATGACAGCAGTACCAATGTTTGAAACCAGTTATGATGGACTTCAAAGACTGCTTTCATTCCTCTATCACCAGATGAGAAAGACGGAATTTGAGATAGTCCGGAAAGTGGGATTCAGAAAATATATTTTCCTCACCATTTTCTACACATATCAATTCTTCAGTAGAATCTCTATTCTCTGGATCATGCATTCTCAATCCTGTTCAGATCCAAGTACTTTGAAAAGCAAATTATTTTGTAATATCTCCTTTATTATTCCAATCGTGGATAAATAACCTACCACACATAATTTCCTAAGAACCCCCCATCTCTCCTCAGTTACCCTTCCCACTTTTACAAGGTGTCCCCATTCTGACTTCTAACAATCAGATAAGTTTTGCCTATTTTTTTTCAAATTTATTCATACAGTGTGTAAATGTTCAAGTCTTTGAATTCATTTTTATAGTCCTTGGTAGACACCTAGGAATGAAATTGCTGAGTCATATGGTATGTCCATTTTTAGTGTTTTAAGGGTCCTCCACACAGCTTTCTACACAAGTCAGCAACAACAAAACCAGCCCAATCTAAGAAATGGGCAAAAAACATAAAACACTTCTCCAAAGAAGATATTCAGATGCCCTACGGGCAAATGAAAAAAATGCTCAACATCATTTATAAGGGAAATGCAAATCAAAATCACAATGACCCAGTTTTCCCAGCACGCTGGGAAAACTGGGTCGCTACATGCAAAAGAATGAAGCTTGACCACTACCTCACACCATACACAAAAATCAACTCAAAATGGATTAAAGAACTAGACATAAGACCTGAAACCATAAAATACATAAAAGGAAATATAGGCAAAACACTACGTGATACTCACATCAAAGACATCTTTACAGACACATCACCCAAAGCAGTGATAGTGAAAGCAAAGATAAACAGCTGGGACTACATCAAATTAAAGAGCTTCTGTACAGCAAAAGAGACAATAACTAAAACAAAGAGAAACCCCACCAACTGGGAGAACATTTTTGCACACAACACTAATGATAAAGGACTGATCACAAAAATCTGCAAAGAGCTGATGAGACTCAACAAAAATAAAGAAAATAATCCAGTCAAAAAATGAGCAGAAGAGCTAAAAAGAAACTTCTCTGAAGAGGAAATGCAAATGGCCAACAGGCATATGAAAAAATGTTCAACATCACTTGTAATCAGGGAAATGCAAATCAAAACTACCATGAGATACCATCTTACACCAGTGAGAATGGCACATATTAAAAAAACTAGCAACAACAAATGTTGGCGAGGATGTGGAGAAAAAGGAACTCTTCTGCACTGTTGGTGGGAGTGCAAACTGGTCCAACCACTATGGAGAGCTGTGTGGAGATTTCTGGACATACTAAACATAGAGCTTACATATGATCCAGCAACTCCACTCCTAGGTATTTACCCAGAGGACACAGAAACATCCATTCCAAAGAGCACCTGCACCCCTATGTTTATAGCAGCACTATTTACAATAGCTAAGCTTTGGAAACAGCCCAAATGCCCAAAAATAGATGACTGGATCAAGAAGATGTGGTCCATATACACCATGGAATATTACTCAGCATTCAAAAAAGATAAACACATGCAATTTGCAGCAACATGGATGGCGCTGGAAGGGATCATGCTCAGCGAAATAAGCCAGAAAGAAAAAGAAAAATACCGGATGGTCTCACTCATAGCAGGAATCTAGAAAACTTAAATAAGGGACTGGGAAAATGAATAACTATAAGAAAGTGAAAATCAAAATCAACAAAAAAACTATGAACCAGAGACACTCTATGGGGGGGTGGGGGGTGGGAGGGGAGGGATTGGGGTCAAAATAAGGGAGTTGCAATTGTATGGGGAATATAAAAATAAAATTTATTATAAAAAAAAAACGAGATACCACTTCACCCCTGTGAAAATGGCTTTTATCAAAAAGGCTGGAGGCCTCCCGGGTGGCATGGCAGGTTGAGCGCAGTGCTGTGAGGCTGTCCTCAGCCTCTGCAGTGCCAGTTCAATTCCTGGCCAGCCAGGGAGCAGCCCACGTGGCAAGACTGTCTCGTCCACTACACCCCTCAGCAGTGTTTTTGGTCCGTCTGTCTGTTCTGCTCCCTGCTCTGTCTCTGGTGAATCCTCTCACCCTCCCGTGACTCTAGCCTATATCCCGGCTCTTGTATAAATAAAATAATTTTTTTTTTTTTAAAAAAGTGTCTCGAAACAAGTGTTGGTGAGGATGTGGAGAAAAGAACACTCAATCTTCTATTGGTGGGAATGTCAATTGGAGCAGCCTCTGTGGAAAAAAAGGTATAGAGGTTTCTCAAAAAAAAAAAAAATTAAATACCACATGGCACAGCAATACTGTTAGGGGGAGCATTGATAAGTCCTTTTAAGCGCGCGGGTGAGGACCCACAGTCAGGCACCCCGTTTTGTATCGGGGCTGCTCTACAACAATACCACTGCTAGCTATTTACTCAGAGAATGTGAAGACACTACAATGAAAAGATTAATGCACGACTGTGTTCATAGCAGCATTTTTACTACAGCCAAGTCATGGAACCAACCCAAATGCCCATCAAAAGGTGACTAGATAAAGAAATTGTGGAATATACTCCATGGAATATCACTCAGCTATTGAAAAAGAGGAAATAGTGTCTTTAGGGGCAAAATGGATGGCTTTCGAGGCGACTATGCTAAGTGGAGTAAGGCAGAACATGAAAGACAGTTACCAGATATCACTTATTTGTAGAATATAAATAACCAAAGGAAAACACAACAGAAATAATTCTTAGGCTCTGAAAAAATAAGGGTCATGGCAGGGGATAGAGCGGTAGGGAGGACAGGCCAGGGAGGGGCAGGCAAAGTGATGAGATATTGGCACCACAGTTTTGATGGAGGCTGAAACTTGTGCACATAGGAAGTTGTAATCCCCAAATTACATAGTTGTGTAAATGATTGGCAAGTCAATAAAACTGGAGTAAAATAATCATCCCTGAACAGAGCTCGCCCAGGCTCTATGTGTCTCCCCAGGTCATCCTCAGCATCTGAGGGTAACATGAACTAGTCACACTGTGTGTTCTGTTGCCTTGCACACCTAACTCCTAAAAATAACTCCAAATCAAGTGAAAACGTGTGTGTGTTCATATCCAGAGCAAAGGTAAAGAAGAGATTTCAAACCAGAGGGCCTGCGCCAGCTGGTTATTATCTTCCAATACTTTAGACGTGTTAATAATCCCTTGTAGTGTTACCTACCAAGTACTGAGCACTGGATGCTTTAATTCTGCTATTTAATCCTCTCAACAACTATAGAAAGAACTATTATTTCCAATTTAGAGATGAGGAAGTGGGGCTATTATATTTGAGAGACTGCTCAAAAATTTTGAAGTATTAGTGACATCTCTCTGTTCAGCCCTCCTAAAGCCACGTGGCTGTGGCTTACGAGAAGAGGGCAGGAGCTGACTGGAAGGAGTTAAGGAAAGGCAAAATGGGTCTAAGCGGGGCCTAACACTGCTGCACCTCCCCCTGCAGTGACCTTTAGGGCTAATGACTTTCGCCACGGTCCCTAGGTCCGGCTGGGCAAGAAACCAGCGCACAGGGGAGTACAACAAAGTTCCCTAAAAACATAGATAAGACAGATGCTTATCAAAAGATAAGGACCACCAGGAACCACTACAAGAATGCTACTACAAAAAACCTTATCTCGTCTTTCTAGAACTACAAACTTTATTCCCTTATTGTCTTTCTAAACTTCCTTCTTTCTTCTATAAAGGTCATTGGTTGTTAATTAAAAAATCATATAAAATCCTTAACACAAGGCTGACTCAAATAAAACATTACTAACCCTGTAATAATTAAAATATAGTTTAGGTGAAAAGTAGTTAGTAAAACAAAAAAATGCAATTATATAGTTTAAAAACAAAACTAATGGTCTGTCTACTTAGGAATGAGGCTAGGTCCAGATGTAAATCACTGCCCTGTCAGTGATAAGCTAAACCCACGAGCAAGCTAATTTCATTGATATTCACTGTTCCTATGCTTTTAGAAAACATATATATACTGGTCACAAACTCAAAAAAAATTACACCCAGATTTACACTCTCTCTTGAAGTGTGTCTGTTTGTCATTTCTTTAGCCGCATCCCTGACCACCCTGCGCAGTCTCTCAACCCTGAGACGGCCTCATCGTTCACTGCTGTGCTGGTCTGCGGCATAACACCTCAAGCAGTATTATGTGGGTTCTATTTGTTTACCAATTCTCTGACTAGGGGCATTGCCCAGGAACCCATCCCCACAGGAGATCTTTACAGCAGCTGAGTTTCCCCACTTCCCAGACCCCAGCTGCCAGATTTGGAAGCATTTTGAACCGTGTCTCTCTGTCCGCAGCAGTATTTTCTGCCCAACTCCGTCACCCCCATAAAGTGCATCAAACCTACCCAGCCTCCTCTGCCCCTCCTGCAGAGTCCACACTCCCCTGGGTTTGCTCCCTGGGAGGTGCAGATTCTTGCCCTGTTGGTGGCTCCTAGAGCACCCCCCTTTGCTGACCTGGGCACCTGGAGCCACTCCCCTCCCGGAGCTTTGCCTCTGGACACGCGCAGCCGTTTCCTAGGCAACGCGATACACAAAGGCTAGGCCGAGTGGTTCGTGTGAGATGTGCTTCAAGAAAAAGAGTGAGGAGGGTTGCTGCAGAAAAGGAGTGGAGAAGAGAGGGCAGAAGGAAGAGTAGGGAGTTTGGGAGAGAAGAGGGGGCTGGGACGGGATACAAGCGCTCCCCTCCTTGGAGATGGATCTGATTTCCTTTAGGAGCTCGCCTGACCTTGCCTTCTGCCTTACCATCCCCAAACCCGCTCACTCAGATGCAGGGGCCTTTACTCATGTGCAGTTTCTCCTCTTTCTTGATCTTCAGAAAGGCAGATTAAGTACCCCTTTGGAACATGTCAACACAGGAAGATCTTTCCTTCTGGCCACGCCCTAAGCTTGTTGGGGCACAAGTACCTTCCGGTTAGGGGAGCGCCCCACAGAGGACCTGGATGCTACTTTTCAGAGGATGTGAGTATTCACCTTCCTTTTAGGTGGGTCAATTTCCTGGTTATCTAAGCATACCGAAGTTTCATGGAAGAAAAACTATGATTTGTGGCCTTCAGGGTCCTCTGCAACCAGCTGTCAGAAATTTAAAAAAAACATTGCTTCCTTCCCTTTGCATCCTCACCAAATGCAAACCTTTGCTTTCTCTAGTTCCCAGGTTAGTCTTTATTTCATTTCTACCTGTGAGGAGCCAATGCTAATCACACTAGTCCAAAGCCTGGCAGTTCAGTGTATGAGCTAATCTAATCAGAATGGCTGTTGCATTAGAACAAATTCAGCTTTGTGGGACTCAGTAACTAAATGAACTGGAATGCTCACAAGTGTCATTGATTAACCTCCTCTCTGGCCACATTCCTTTGCAGATGTGCTTGTGTTACCCAGGTAATTGTATAGTCTTGACTAGGGCAAGTCAATGTAAGAAACAAAGGGAAAATTTTGCCGAGATTGATAGGAACATCCTAAGTTCGCTTTGATAGTTCACATAATGTTCTCTATGTGTTTTTTGTCTTTCTTTTTTTTAATATACACCACCGGAAGAAAAATGGCTTGGCATACAACCTCGCTAAGATCCCAACCAGTAAAAAAGGATATACATGTGGAGCCAGAACAGCCGTGAGATTTAAGCCAATTTTCAAGGTTAGAAATGACTGAATGTCCTTAGATTTTAATGTGATTCAGTTGCTGTGCATTGCAGAGCAAAGGACAGGAAGCGGGAGGTTGCCTAAGGAATAGGCCCTAAAATTGAAGAAAACTCGATATTTAACTATTAAAAAACTGATCCAGAAAGTTTGGGAGTTAATGCAAATGTGTGTGTATGTGTTTCTTGGGACAATGGAAAACAATTCTCAGAGGAAATGGTAGCAAGGCAGGACTTTAGGCCTGACACACCTGATGTTAACCTGCTAGAAACTTTGTGGATATGCATCAACATTACCTTGCTGGCTAAAAAAAATGTGAACTTGGGCCTCCCTGGTGGCCCAAGGGGTTAAGACGCAGCCTAAGAAACTTTTCCATCCTTTTAAATGATTGAGTGTCAAATCTAAACATCTTCAGTACAGTCCAGCCTAATCTCTTGTTGGGCATTTTGCTGACACTTAAGATCAGGACTGGGGACATTGGCTCTAAAAATCTGAGTGGGAAGTTGGGCGAAGCAGCTATAACAAGTTAGCATGGTTCTCCAACAACTCTAGGTCTGTTTCTATTTCTAAGCATTTGTATCTTTAGGTAAAGGAACTGTGCCCTTATCTAGGTTTTTCACCTACTGTAGAACTATTTCTATAGCTTGAGGTGGTTTAACCACAGCTGATAAAAGAATAGGAAGAGGCTTGTTCTTTTTACTTAGAGGGTTCTCTGTGTGTGTGTGTGTGTGTATCACCTTGTATTATAACTGATCTTTTTCTTGTAAGTAGGATGTGACTCCTTACCCAGGCATGTACCAGACAGTCTATCCTCGGGAACAAAAACACAAACAAAATTTTGCTCCATTTAATACCTTATTGCCTCGATTTAGGACATACTCTAAGGACTCTGGTTATCTCTGGTACGTCTCTTTTTGGTACACTTGAATACAAAATAATAGGAAAGAAAAAGAAGTGTTTACATGCAATCCATGGAGGCTAAAAAAGAAACCACCTATCTTAAAAGATTTGATTTCTTGCCTTCCAGATCTCAGGCATTATAGAATTTTAAATCTTAGTGGTTCATTCAAAAAATATTTGCAAACATGCAAGGTGGTTATATAGGTTCAAGAGAGTTTGCATTAAACTTAGCATAGCAGTTTACCTTCTTGGAGCTTACATTCTAGAGTCCAGGCAAATGAGAAGCAAATAAATAGGAAAATATCAATGGTAATAAGAAGAGTAGCCAAGTCACTTATTAGACCATGATGCCTCTGAAAATAAAAGGTGTCTTTCTTAATTACACCAAGACAGTAGTCATAATGAGCTAGGGCTACAGTGGGCAAACCAGGCATGTTGGGAAGGAATTTGGTGCAAGGGAAAAAATTAAGTCAGTGATAATAGAGTGTGGTGAGCAAAGTAGAAGTGAGTACAGAGGAGGAGCTGGGCAGGGCTAGAGTTTAAACCTTGTAGACCAAGGGGATATTCTAAGTTCTTTAGGAAGCCATCAGGGTATAGGGAAATGCAGGGCAAAAAGTCAAGGTCTTCCTTTCACTGATGAGAAATCCAAGGGTCAGAGTGAACGTAACTTTCTCAAGGGTTGCAATAAGAAAGTAGAAGTGTGGAACTCCAACCCTAAGTCCATTCTATTATTTCCACCACAGCCAAGAGTCTACAACCAAAGAAAAAGTGTTATGAACAAAAGCAATTGATATATTTCCATTGTCAAGAAAATTTAATTGGTTCTGCTTTACTGTCCCTAGATAGTAGGTATATTAAATTGCCACTGTATTTTTATCCCCATTTTCAAATCTTGGACAGTACTGATTCATGGCTGTGGTATATCTCTTTTATTATCTGCATTGAGTTACAGAAATATTTTTAAACTAGAATCAATTTTTATAATAGCTGGATGTCAAGTCTAGCTATTTTTACCATACTAACATCTAGTTAGAAGTACATTACCAGGCAGAGGAACCCCATGCTTCCCTACATTAAAAAGCTAGTCAGTCTGTTACCTTTTCCCAAAGAGCTAGTCTGAGTTCAGGGACTGCTGTGTTGCTGGTGGACTCATGCATAGTCACTGACTCATTTGACGTGATGTTTTGTGGTTTTGATTCTAGCCCTGGTATGTACAACCCAGAGAAAAAGTCACCCCCAAAAGTTACCTGGCCAATGAAATTTGGATCCCCAGACTGGGCTCAGGTTCCATGTCTACAGAAAAGGACTCTAAAAGCTGAGGTAATATTGGACATCTGTGGACCATTCCATGTAGTACTTTCACGTGTATCGAGCATCCTTAACCACTAGTTATAAATGGACTTCAGGGAGACTTGTCACTTGAAAATATATGCACAGTTTGATGTCTCTGTGCAGATGGGGATCTGTTTGAAGAGTTACACGATTTTATTAGATTTTTAAAGATGCATATGAACAAGTCACATTTTCTCATTTAATCCTTAGATAATCTTCTATGGTAGATACGGGAGAATTACACCCCCTCAACCCCCATAGTGGAGGAGGGAATCGGGCCCTGGTGGACTGAATTATACAGGTTGCTCAGCTTGAATCCTAAGTCAGTCTCTTTCCATTGTAGCACTTAAGCATTTGCTCACTGGGGGACGGAGAGCATTTTGGGAAGAGCTTAGATTCTGGGGGCAGACCTCTTAGGTTCAGTGTTTTTGTGCTGTAATTTGGGGCAAGATCCTTAATTTTTCAAAATCTTGGTTTTCTTGATGCAAAATAGATATAACAGACCAATCTAACGTGGTTGTAAAGATTGAGATAAGTGCAGAAAAGCATTTAACAGTGTTTATAACATTATAAATGTTTAATCCATGTTAACCATCATTATTCTAGAAATGCCTTCTTTTTTCCTAGTGGAACTATGTATTAATTCTACAGATATGGGTTAAATGCCTAATGTATCGATAATTATAATATTGGGCTTCGGCCTTTGGTAGCATTCAGGAAATAATATATATAATCTTTGATTTTGAGGATTGACCAAGTGGAAGGTAATTCCTAGCATGGTATACACCACAGTATACAAGGAGTTGATGTGCAAATGTTGAGTCACAACATTTGTCACAACACAACACAGATGTTGAGTTACTAAGACTAGATTATCATGGGGCTGGGGTTTAGCTAAACCACACAGCTACACTATATAATTCTATTTTGCACAGAGAGGAAGACAGGCAGAGAGCTCTTACTAGAATATTGACCTTGACAATATTCTTTCATGGCAGTTGTCCACAGACAAAGACTTTAAAAAGCATCGGAACCGTGTGGCCTATCTAAGCTTGTATTATGATTGAGGAGCTGTGACTGCCACGAGCTCTTCCTGACCACAGTATCTCCAGGATTGAGATAAGAAGTCTCCCTCTGCACTGCTGAGATCCTCTTGTCTTCCAGCATGGGCCCCGGGAGAGGGCAAGTGGTTCATGAGCACATAAAATCTAGCTCAGAGTATTCTATCTCTCTGCTGTTTTATTGTCTCCACACATGGATGGGAGTTCCTACTGACTGTCCATTGGGGTGGCTCCATTTCACTAAAATTCTGATGGGTACCCAGCTTTAATGATCAGGTATCAGTTTTATTTATTCTACCACGAGCGCTAGGAATGGGCTGTTTCCTAGACATATACAGGATATGGATGGGATTTGGGACTGCTTTGATTTGTATTTGGACTTGCCACATACAGAGGATATTTACAGGCAGGTAAGGCATGTTCTGGAAACTCTGCCAAGTTTCTAAGTTCCCAGCTTGGAGTGGGAAGGTCCTGATTTGGTTGCTTTCCTCAGATTGATATCAAACTCACAGAATCAAAAATTCCCCTTTTCCATTACACCTATGTAGTCTGCATGTCATCGTGTTTTATATATTGAGATTTTGCCATGAGTCAGCCAGAGCAACAAGCACTGGGGATACAACAGGAATCCAGATAAACTCATGTGCTGATTCCTGGGGTCTGGCCTAAAGTATAAGGAGAATTCTCTTAGGTGGCTGGTGGATTGCATTTGGCCTTCCCCATCTGAATGACCCCCTGAAACCTTATAAGTTAAGCTAGGAGTATAAGGTCAGAACTCACAGTAGCCACATTGAAAATATGAACCCAAACCCTCTGGCCTGGGAAATAGACCCCTTGCTAACACTAACTGAAAAAAAAAAAAAAAAAAAAAACTCAAGGCTAGTTCCTTCAAGAAGGGCATTAAGTGTGGTCTACCTCATGTCTTTTAATGGATGGCCTTTTAGTACCTATTTAGGCATTTTAGCAATTACCAGAAAGTGGTACATCTGCATGTGTTTGGATACTAGAGAGTGAGGAGCTGCCAGGAACTGCAGGAAAGCAAACCCCACTGTAACCACAGGGGCACCCCATGCGAAATGGTTAGCTAGTGAAAGAGGCTATAGGAGGTATACTAGGTAAACCCCCCTGGGCGTGTTGATGCTGAGAGGCCTAATTCCTTAATGATCAAAGTCTTCTGAAGAAATAATGGTGAAGGAAAAGTCTGTATTAGAAATCAAATTCAAATATTAATGATAAAGACCTCAGACTGAGAACTTTCACGCAGTACAAATGCTCCTTTGAAGTTGATCTAAGGATTTCTGTTATTTTGTCAAGAAGTGTTTATGACCTGAGATAAGTCAGGGTTAAGTCTTTTCACTTGTCATGTCCCTCCCTTTTTCCTGCTTTGTTTCCACTCACATGGAATTTAGAGTGATAATTTAGCATTCAGGTTTTTAGAGCGATAATTTAGCATTCAGTATTTCTTCTGGCCCAGGATCATGGACCCCTTCTTTAAGGGGTACCAATGAGGTAGCAGAACATGACTCACCCTGCTGTTTGGTACCTATACCCTGGGCTTTTTCCATGGAAGGCGACTTTCTTTTCTAAAATAGTAACCTCATTTGATAAAAAATAATTTTTTTAATATAGCTCCAGTTAACCTTCAGGGTCCCTTAACATGCAAAACTGTACACACAGGTACTTAAGGAAGAACACAAGTGAATATAAGAATAAAACATGCAGTAGATATGATTAAGAGGGGGTGATAGTTTCTTTTTGGTTTTAATATATGATTAAGAGGGGGTGACAGTTTCTTTTTGGTTTTAATACAGTAAAATCTTATCATAATGCTGTTTTAGTAGAGTAGGACTTGTGACTGATTAATATCTATAGACTACATGGAATATTGGAAGATGTAGTTTGATAAACAGCAGAAGAGAATTTGTGACAAAGAATTTTATTGACTTTTTATTTAAGGCCAAGTGCAACATTTGCAGTTCTGGTCAAAAACCAGGCCTTGGGCACAATGGGAATGGAAAGTCTTGCCTCCCACACACTGATAGAACTTGGTGTTGTCCTCGGGGTTGCTGTAGAGGTCATCTGCTTTGCGGGAGCAGACCCCTCCATCACTTCCACCACCTCCAATTCCTCCGTTACCATCCTCGCCACCGCTTTCTCCACCTTGACCCGCCAGAAACCCAACCGTTGCTTCTGGGTGCCACTGGCCAGTTGTACCAAGTATTGGCAGCTGGTGGGGTACATTCTAAAATACAGAAGGAGCATTTCAGACCAGAATCATAACCTGTTTTTGAAAACCGAGCTACAGACCTTCTATATCAGTTCTGTTCTCAAAGAACTTGAGAGAGGCTTCTAGGCTTAGTTGAAAAGACGGTAACAAGGAGGCAAGCATCCAAAGTGCTGGAGGGAGGGAGTCAGAGCAGGAGGCAGCCCAGGGTTTCCACTGTAATCACTCAGGGGAAATGAGCCCAGCTCCACAGTGGCAGGGTCTGGGATTTCAGTGGGAGCTGATAAATACTTGAGTTTTAGTAGGGGACACTTATCTGTAGATATTTCTGTCATAAGGAATACATATGTGGTTTTTCATCTTGCTAAAGTATTATGCTTGGATTGTTTGTTTCTTTGCTTTGTTCTATTTGTTTCCTGTCAGTGTTGCGCCTCTCTCTCTCTCTCTCTCTCTCTCTCTCTCTCCCCCCAGACATTTTGTTGTTCATTTTACTCTGCTGGTACAAAGCTCTTACTCCCTCACTGTTTACTTTGAACAAATCATTTTATACTTATAGGTTTTTACGATTCAAAAAAGCAATGATCCTGTGAATTTCCTCAGAGTGGAGACTTAAGAAAGCTCTGATCTTTTTTTTTTCAAAGGTTTATTTATTTTTATACAAGAACTGGGGTACAGGCTGGATGCGCGGGAAGGTGAGAGGATTCACCAGAGACAGAGTGGGGAGCAGAACAGGCAGACTGACTGAAATACACTGCTGAGGGGAACAGCGGGCGAGACAGGAGAGGTCTGCTGCACCATGTGGGATTCTTGCCGGCCGGGCGGGATCAAACCCACGCTGCAGAAGCCGCAGACAGCTTCACAATGCAGTGTCAACCGCCTGCACTACCAGGGAGGCCCTTAAGCTGATCTTTTGATTGACAATGGATTTCTTTTTTTAAAGACACTTCCTATAGTTCTATCCCTGTTATCAAATGCAAGGGCCTGGAAGTTCTGCCCCCACTCCCCACCCCCCATTCACTCTGGCTGCTCTGTATTACTGTTCTTTGTGTCTTGACCTGCATCTTCTTTAGAGCAATGTGGTCAACTCAGAGGGACGTACTTGAGGACAGGCCAAGGAGGGACTTCAGCTTGTTGATGAGTGGGTATTTGCCCTCATTGCAGAAGGAGCCAGAAAAGTCACCCAGGTCAATGGCCCAAATCATGGCCCCACCAAACTTGTTCTCCTTAAGAAAGTCAACCTGTGGACAGAAAGAACACTTGGCAGCCAGAACCAAATGGCATCTATGCACCAGAGAGAGTCTGGAGTGACAAATTGATATTATGGAGAGAGGCAGGTGGAGTGGGCCCTATCAATTTTTCTGTTATGAAAGGGTAGGTATGTGCCTTGTGGATTTAAGATGTAGTGTTGGTTAGCCCAGCTGGATTCTTGTTTTCTTGCCCCAGTTAATAAACTCTTGGGGCATAATATATACAAAGTTAATATTTCTTTAATACTAGTTTTCCAGGCTAGGCTACATTTTTACATTCATTATTCACTTAGCTGTCACAGGAACTACCCAGATCTTATGATTAGTACTCTTTTAGAGATTTGTGGGAGCCCATGGAGTTGGGGATATAGAACTAGTTATATCTGCTCCCAAAGCGTAAGTTCTTAACCACTGCCTCTGTGGGCCCCATTCTCCTCCTGTTGACCACCTTTCTCTGGCCAGGAGCCTATGAAGATGAGCCAACAGAGCCCATGGCGGTGGAAGACCACAGACTCTAGGTTAACTACTGTCTTCGCAACTTTCCTACTATGAAACCCCACACTAGTCACAGCATCTAAGCTCTCAGCCTGCACACCTGTAAAATTGAGAGCTTATCTGTTACTTTACTGGCTGATAGAGAATTAAATAAAATAATGTGTGTAAAGCATTTATGTAAAAATGTAAAGTCGTGTTCTCATTATTGCCTTTGAAGATTATAGTTAGGCCTCATTTATAACCATTTTCTAGATGAACTAGTAGAGATACATGCTGGATAAAACTTGGAATTTAGCCACATTAGACTATTTGAGTATTTACTCAGGTATTATACTATTTATTGTACATGATAGTATTAAATCTATGTTTAATATTATTTTCCCTGTCTTGGGGAAAAGGAAAGTCATAAGAGGTTAGTCTGATCTCCCCCTGTGTATATTTAAAACATTAAAACCACAGATGTTAGTAAAATGGGCTCCTGATGAGCTCAGGATTCAAAACTAGAATTGTAAGGTACTTTTTTAAGTGTTCATACCTTATATTCATAGCTTTTAGCATTGTCACAGCCAATCCATTCGGTGTTTTTGTAAGCATATGGGACTTTCTGATCTTCAATCCCGGCACTTGTGGCTCCACCTAGGAATGTGCAGATCTATGGGAGATATGAAGAAGGCAATGTTGAGTGTGTCATAGGTGTCTATCATACATTGGAGGAGAAAGAACTTAAATTGGAAAGAAATAGAAAGAGATGAGAAGGAAATGGTAAATGGGACATTGTGAAATCTACATTAATCACAATCTTTTTTTTAATTAAAATGAAGACATAAATTCTATGAAACCAGGCTACAAGCAAGTGTAATTCTAATTCTGTACCCAGAGTTTGTTTGAAAAATAGTAAGCATGACCATGTGTGCTATGGTGATTTTCTCAAATATTTGAGTCGTTGCAAATATTGTTATTCATTCAACCACTGGTATCTGAATTTTCAGCAGAGGGTTTAAGTTAATGCAATCAATTCAAATTGGAAGGGACATCAAATTATTGCCACTCCAGGCTAGACAATTGAAATGATTTTTCTAGCTGTTTACACAGATGCGATAGAATTCAGTATTGCTTTGGGGCTGGAGAAAAGATGGTGCCATGTGCCTCCAAACCCAGAAAGGAAATTCAGATTGATTTTTTTTTTAAGTGAAAAGTGTTCCACATGCACCAACTTAGC